AAGCAATAGCTTCCGCACCGCGTCCCTCGTCCTCGGCGGTGGCGGTGGCAGTGGCACGGCCGCCGTGTCCGCCGGAACCGGCCGGCCCTCGCCCAACTCCGACGCTCCCTCGTCCCTCTGCGGAGGCGGTTGAATCGCCCCCGCCGTCGCCTGCTCCACCTCCGCCGTTGAGCCCATCGGGCTGACGGCGCGCTTCCCCGACGCCCGTGCCTCGGGCGTGTCGGCCTCGGCCTCGGGGTGGGCAATCGCCAGCCCCGAGGCACCCTCTCCTCCTCCTAGAGACGTTAGGCCTCTTGCCGACGCCCCAAGCACCGTCTCCCTGACGTCGGGGAGGTGGTCCAGGGGACCCCGCCCCGCCTCGCTCTCGTCGTCGTCGCTCGAAAAGTCCATCGACGACGATGACGGAGACGGCTCCTCCGGGAGACCGTCGCGGCTCTACTGCCGGCGATGTTTCTCCAGCTCATCGCGCTCGAGGCTCTTCCTCTTGCGCCTTGCCTCCTCGGCATCCTTCCGCTCCTTGTACGCCTCGGCGTGTGCCCTGTTCTCGGCTCGCCGCTCGGCGTCCTCGAGAACGGGCGGCGGGGAGGCTCGCACATCCCTCATCCCCTGCAGGAACGACAAACGCAATAAGGGAACGGACTAAAAATGTAGGAGCAAGAAGGCCTCGAAGGCCGCAGCAACACGCAACTTACCAGAGAGATGTACCCCCGCGACGGGCGCATCGAGAACGGGGCTAGACCACTACTCCTCAGCCACCCCTCCACCGTCTCTCTCACCCGACGCAGAATCTCCTCGTCGGAGAGGGCGACGGCGGACAGCCGGACGCCGTCAATCGGCTCATCCGATGTCATCTCGAACAGGCGCTGCCGCCGAGCCATTAGCGGCAGCACCCTCCGGCGGTGGAAGGCCGCCACGACCACGGCCGCCGTAAGGCCGTGGCTGCGCAGCCTCTCTAGGGCCCTTAAGAGCGGCTACAACTTGGGCTGATCAGCCAACGGGACACCGTACCTCCACCTCTCCGGCTAGCTCTCCACGACCCGCTCGGTATAGGGGGAAGCCCGTCGTCATCATTGCGGAGGTAGAACCAGCTGTTGTACCAGCGACGGTTGAACGATGCGAGCTGGGCCAGGATGTAGAGGGGCTGCCGGTCTTGGCGCACTTGGAGAGTGCAGCCACCGGCCCTCAACGCCTTCCGCGTGCCCATCATACCCGCCAGCTTGGTGGTGAGCCCCACCCGAAAGAGGTGGAGCCACAACTCCCAGTGGGGGGCAATGCCCAGGTACCCCTCGCAGACGGCAACGAAGATGGCCGCCTACGCAATGGAGTTGGGGTTGAAGTTGTGGAGCTCCACGCCGTAGTAGTGCGGGAGCGCCCACATAAACCGATCCGCCGACAAGCCGAGGCCGCGCTCGTGGAAGGACACAAAGCTCACGATGTAGCCATCGCGTGGCCTCGACTCCGGCTCGTTCCCCGAAGCAATCCACTCTGGCCTGTTGGGGTCGGTGGCCGGGCGGAGGAGACCGTCGTCGACGAGCGACTACAGCGTCGCCGCGGACACGTCGGACGGACCCCAAGGATCCGCCTGGAGGACAACAGCGCCACCAGCCATGGGTGCGGTGGAGAATGCGACTACGGCGGTAACGCGTGCTCTCGCTTACTCTCTCTCTCTCTCTCTCTCTTCTCCTCCCCCTTCTCCCTCCTTCTCCCCGGCGCTCTATTCCGCTGTTCTTGGCAACCGCTCGAGGGTAGAAAGCGCGAGTGCAGGCAGAAAAGGTAAGGAGGGGCAGGGGCGCGGCTCGTCACATATTTATGAGGGAGGAAAGAAGGCGAACGGGCGGGCGACGAAACCGAGAAGATTATTTCCCAGATCTGGCCAAACCGCCCACACGCCCTACTTCTTCTCGCTAACCGCGCACGTATAGTAACGTCCCATCCGCAGCGACGGCAGGCGCCGTTCCGTCTCCCCGAGAAACTGCCTCAAAAGGCCCACCCGCCGTCGTCAGCCGATGGGAAGGGAATATTCCCCATCCGATTCCTTTCAGACAAAGGAACTGGGCACCGAGCCCGTTACGGTCCAGGGGTTCGAAGGCTGGGCCCCCGAGGGTCTCGACAGCCGCCCTAGGACAAACAGAGTCAGGGATGACTAAGGGCGAGCCCGTACATGACCGAGGCCCAAGCAAACAGTTGCTTGGGATGCCCTAAGTCGTGTCCGAGACCGGCAGGGAGATCTCTGAATGGGATCCCACCGTAGGGAGGCACCGAGCCCCCAGGGCCAATCGAACGGCCCTGGGACCCACTAGAGAAGCCCTCTGGTACTTTTGGAGCACGTCTCTGGACTGCTAGCCGACCCCTATCGAATGGGGCATGGACCTCCACTTGGACTTACCCGTTAATAGCTCACCAGGGGTGTCACTGCTCGCCTGTCGAGGGTAGCCTAGCATACTCCACCCCTCCTTCCGAGCGAAAAGGATGCGCGAAGGCCGCACAAAAAAGACAGGGAAACTCCTGACCGCCCTCTTGCTCCGAGCAGAGGCTCGGGGGCTCTTCCTGCGACCAAGCCGAGGCCAGCGACCTGAACTCGCACTCGGGGGCTCGGCAAACACAACAAACCCCCCCACTCAACAGGGAAAAAGCCCCTGGAAGAATAAATCCACTCCTCCAAGACCTCGGGGGCTACACCCGGCGGGTGCGCTCACGCGCACCCACCGGAGCCTCGAACACAAAACACAATCAAGACGGGAGCTGCTGCGAGCCAAGTCTCGTCAAAACCTCAAGGAGAGTGCTCACACTCCCCCCAAGGCTCGGGGGCTACTGTCGGATACCATAAAAAGGGTACCCTAAGCAAGAACCGAAAAAAATTGCTTAGACCTTATAAATAACGAAACCAAAATACAACCGCAGTCAAACCCGCAACATCCGAGGCCCGGCTGGACCGCCCGGCCCACCTCGAACAAATATCCGGGCTCGACCAAGGCCCCACACCACAAGGCCTCGGACGAGGTACCGATTTTCCGGCTCGCCCGAGGCCCCGCGCCACGAGGCCTTGGACGAGCACCCAGTTACCGACTCGCTCGAGGCCGCCTTGGCATCAACCCCGTCACCATCGCCTTGACCGACTTCTCTGACAAGACGTCACACCCAACTAACACGTTCAACCACTCCCACGACGTCAGCCGCACGACGGCACAGTACAGCGGAGTGGCCGACGAGACAGAAGTCACATCGACCCCACGCTATTCGAGACAGGACGAGGCGAGGGTTACCGGCCGCTGTGCTCGGCGCTGTGCCCACGACGGACACCCGTGCCACGCTGTGCTGCCTAACCCCTGCCCAGGCATGGAAAGTCAAGTCCGGGTCCCTGTAGCCTCGGAAACGACGTGCAAGGCCAACTGCTTCCTCCGAGCCTCGGCTACCCGCTTCCGGGCTCCTGTAGCCTCGGGACTCGCGCCCACCAAGCCCCCCACGATGGTCCAGCCTCTGCATCGAACTAGGCCTCAACTCTCTACGTTGTCAGCGCTCTGGGACCGGCACGCCGCCCGCAGTACGCGCCATGCCCTGCGTCGGGCTGCAGGAGCTCCCACGTCGTGCACAGGGCCTAGCTCCTGTAGCCTCGGAATCAGCATACCCACGCCATCGCATCAACTTGGTCTCGGCACTCCGCGCCGGTCAAACATACAGTGACCTGCACGCCTCCAACAGAAGAAGGCGCGCCTGCCACCACAGAAGCTCCCATGTCGCACAGGATCAGGCGTGACCGGTGCGTCGCTCCAATGCACGGAGGACAAGACCGCTCCACCGACTGCGCCGCCACAGTGACAAGCTGCAGGGCTCGGACATGCCGCCCCTACCGAAGAACGCCACGTAGCAAATATATGTACCGCCCCTGTGCCTCCCCTTGACTATAAAAGGGAGTGACCAGGGCCGCTTCTAGGCAGAAGAAAACTAGGGCAAGCCACGCACAACACTCTGTAACACGCACACTCCTTCACTACAAGAGATCAACATCTCAAGGAACACACACTGCAATTCACAGAGACCTGGGGCTAGCTCCCTCTCTCGTCCAGCTTGTAAGCCCCTACTACAAGCACCTCGGTGCAAGGAATACAAGATCGCTCCCTCAGACTGGACGTAGGGCACATATTGCCTGAACCAGTATAAACCTTGTGTCTCTTTGCATCACCATCCAGGATTAGAAACACGCAGTACACTTTCACTAGTCGGTTAAGGACCCCCGGTCCAAAACACCGACAACTTTAAACACTAGGATGTCAAATAACATACTGTGCATGACAACCTCGATGGAACTAGGGCATTCATGTTTACTCCCACCTGAAAAGTTTGGAGAAAGAAGAGATCATGCAATCTGGATAATAGTTTAAGAGAAGCCAATAGTGCAAGAAAAATAGTAGCGAAGGGTTACTGTTACCTCTTTGTCAAAAGTACATGAAGGACAAATGCTTATAGCTGTCTCTTAAATGAAATTGTCTCAATTTAGTATGGCAATTCCATGTAGCTCCATATAATATATAAAAGAACTGGAGTGCTAGAGATCAAAATAATCATAGGATTATATCTTACTTTGCTCAATAGATTATGAACCATTTCATCCCCTAGACAAATAAGTGGTCTCGGTAGCTGCTTGACTGCCAATATCTCCTACTGGACCGTTTCTCTGAAATTAAGGGGCTCAGGTCAAATTATTGGTCATGCAGAAACCGACCATGATACTAATAAAATTTATTAAAGGGCGTACCCAGTGCAAAGAGCTCCCGCTCTGTGCGGGGTCTGGGGAAGGGTGTCAGTGGCAAGCCTTACCCTCGCCTGTGCAATGCGAGGAGACCACGACTCGAACCCGGGACCTTCCGGTCACAGGCAGTAAGACTCTACCGCTTGCACCAGGCCCACCCTTCATACTAATAAAATTTATTGTTTGAAAAATTTACAGATGGCATAGAAGCAGATAATTTAACATGCTAAACCGTAAGGAAGTAGCATTAGCTTTAGAGTAGGAGCACATAAAACATACTAACAACAATCTTCACATACCCAGGCTACAATAGACAACGAATTTGATTATACTAAATTCAGCTGTACAATAACCACAGGGCATGTAAACTTGCATGAAGAATTACATAGACTTCATCTTGCAAGCCTAGTGATGCACAACAAAAGTGGACCACTAATCGAACCATAAGAAAATCTGTTGCTGCCCTGAACCAAGCCAATGGCAAAGGAGGTGTTCCATTATTTACTGACATATTTCACTGCTGCTACAAATTATTACTATTTCTAGAAGCAACCCTCATTAATATGGATTCGTATCAACTGAGTCTGAGATCCCGTTTACTCTTCCTCCCCAATGCTCTATCCTGAGATTACTGACTTTAGAAAAAAGAGATCTGCTCTAACATGCACAACAAAAAGGCTGCATATGACAAAAGGAGCATTCTATTTTACCAAGCATAGTCGTTTTTTGGTTTATGAACCTAGTACAGGTAAAAAAAAGAACAATCTGTTGGAATTAACAACTGCACATAAATATGTCGGAGTTAAAACAATGCATATCTTAGCAAATAGGTTTGAGATAATCACATCATTCAAGCATTTTCGTGAATAGGCAGAATTCAGTGGGCCACTCATAGCATCCATTTTCTGTGGAAAACAATTTAGGAAAAAATAAGGACAACAGAAGAGTGTAACAAATAAAAGAACCAACGAAGAAGATTTGTAAACACACTAAAGCTATAAAACATTACCTTAGTCGATGACGCTGATCTGAGTATATACTCTTCCTGTTTCCTTCTTTCACCAAATAAAAACTGATCCACCGTCTCAGCACAAACTGAAAACCATAAAGGCATCAAAGATACGTTGGCTGGTTTCTCCAGCTTGACAGTGGAAGCATGCTGAACGGCATAATGTAGAGCTGTAAAATGTAGTTGACTGTCTTTATTTACTATTCTCTAATGTTCAAGAAAAACATCGAGAAATTCTATAGGACAGAACTGTCGAACTTATTCACATAGGCACATTACCTATATGTAGGCAAGATGTCAATGATTAGGCTCATTAGGCTGTCTCCAACAGGAGACCCATTGCGGAACCCAAACCTAAAATGAGTCTCCAACACAATACCTATAGCCTCCAACAGAGTATCTATATGAAAAACCCATTTTGGGTGCCAGGAGAGGCATAACCCAAATCTGAGTATCCTCTCTCCTGTAGACTCATTTGCAAAAATGATTGTCTTTTGGGTCTTGTTGTTGGAGAAGACCAAAAATAGGTATTGAACCATTTGCCTGTAGCGCTACCCAAATGGCGAATAGGTCTTGTATTTTGGGTCACGGTTGTTGGAGACAGTCTTAGAATATGTTTCCTGCCTCAGTCCAGAACACAGAAAAACATATTTTTATAGAGGGAGAAAAAAACATATCTAGCTATCAAAGGTGAGGATAAAAGTGCATGTTTGGGGGAAAAAAATAAGGGGCATCAGCAACATGGCATGTTGTCAGAAACCTTACTCCAATCGTACAACATATTTGGAACAAATAAATCCTTCAATCGTAGAACATATTTGGAGCCAATAAGTGAACAACAGTATAGGAATCTTCATAGACCCACAGAAATGAAATTGCAACACTAAGAGGTCAGTTTCAGTGACCACTCAAAACTGTCAATTTATATAAACATGGAGTAGGTGCTAAAATCAACATAACGGGACATATGCTCCTGACAGTCCCTAGTATTTCCTGTAAGATGTTTTAGACTATATCTGGATCACTAAAAATTTGGAAAGGAAACTAAAAAAAATGAAGACGCACGTAACAGCAAGACTGACCTCAGCCTCCTCCTCGAGCGGCAGATGGCTCCGCTCGTTCGTCGCCATCGGCGTCAAGATGTTTGAATCAACAATGGTAGTACCCCTAAAACCTTATCATTTGGCATAATGGCATAATGGAGACAAATTTACTCCTTCTCCACAAAGAATATGCGCTGACGGAAATAGAAAATCATCTCACCATCTAGATCCCAACTTACATGCCCAGTCGCAGCTCCGACCTTGACTCCTGTGCTCGTCGTTGCCGTAGACATCACCCAATTGTAGAAGCTGAGCAGCCGCATAGCCTGGGACTGCGGGGCGGTAAGGCAAGGTGCGGCTGGCGGCGTCTTCGTCGAGGAGGAGGATGCAAAACATGGCGGAGCGGTGGGGTGGGGATCGACGCCGGCAGGTGGGGGACGGTGCAGGCAGAGCGGCGGATTGGAACCGATGGAACTGCAGAGAACGTGGTTGGGCCGAGGGCGGGGTCGGGGGATGGGGGCTGGCCAGCTGAAGATTCTTCGCCCTCGGTGGTATGGGCTCGGCAGTCTGTGGCAGGCAAGAGGAGGCCCGCGTTACTTGTCCGGGAGAGGAAAAACTGATCTAGCCCGTGAGCCGACCCGTGCACGTGGTAGCGGGCCTTGTGCAAGAAAAACACACGACCCACGTGACTGCGAAACCACCAGCCAGCCAGCCTAGGTTGAGGGAAACGCAACACGGTTCAGGACTCGTCGCCGGCGGCAGATGGCCATGGAGGAGACATGGCCAGAATGACCCTGCCGAGACAGACAGTACTGCTGAGTGCTGCTGGCTCCAGCGTCGTCCCAGCTTAGCTTTCGACAAGGCCAGCGTCCGTTCACTGTTGACATGTTATTAGCCCCGTGTTTGGAGGGCCATGACGATAATTAATACAGCAACAGTGCACAATCTGGTGTCTCTTGACTCTCTGCTGGCCGAGTCATTACTTCTACTAAGATCGGCTCGCCCTCCTATTGCTTTGCCTTTGCTATGCTACCCGCTCAGAGCGGGAGCGGCTTTACAGATAGACCAATGGCCTAAAGAATGAAAGCTATTATCAAAGTTTGATAGTCATTGCTTTATAACTAAATGATAATATTAATATCTAAGCAGACATTAATATAGTAACTCTTAATATCAGCGTGGAGTCAACACCTAAGATTAGGATAAGTGAGAGAGTTGTTTTTGTCAGTTTGTTAGCAGCAGTGTCCTGTTAGTTGTAGCAGCTCAGCACGAATCTACATTGTTCCTTGACAGATCCTGTTGGTTGTAGCAGCAAGCTCTTTTTCCAAAAGACCAGTAGTTTGCTTTCTAGCCACTGCAGATTGTACAACAATTATCAAATCTAATAAACAATCACAATAATCAATCAATGCAAGAGGAACTATTTACATTGTTTAAAGTCCACACCTTCAGTATCTGAACCTCTACTTATCCCTCCTGACACCTTCACATATATTGTCAAACAGAAAATCTACATGAATATAGGAAGGAGAGAGCTACAGTCACAAAACTTTTCAATTAGAAGACTCTACCTGTCGAGTCTGAGCTGAAGTTGTTTGACATTCTAGAGAGGCAATCGAAGCACACAAAAAATATCCTTGCTAGAGAAATTTCTATTTCACTTCATATGAATTTGTACCTGCAAAAATATTGACATGGGCAAACACCATAAATAGCCTGCATGTAGAACTACTTTGATTTAGTAGACCATGAAGGGAACTCACATGATCAGAGGCATCATTTTTTTCCCTGGTGTGCTTTAGGATGTGTTCCCCCTTCTGTTATCAGTAATACCTTTCTTCACATTGATTGCCTTAAAGAATGGTCTTTCATGTGCCTGCTCTTTTTTGAGAGACGAAGCAATATGTTTCCTTACTTCTTGAACTAACAGCATATCACAACAGGACTCGTCAGCATTTCTTCCACAAGTGTCTTAGCTAACGACCAGAAAGCACCATCAGATAGCACGTCACCGCCATCTAATTCAGGTAAGCCTAGAGGGGGAAAAATCCTGCAATCGATGCGAAAATATTACCACATAAGTCAGGGCAAGAAGCGGATCCTTCATCACCACTTCATATCAATACTATCATATCTTGTTCAACGTGTGAAGCTTTAAAATACAGGTGGCTACTTTGTACATAATCATTTTGTGCCATTTGAACAATTTGTTTTATTAATGCATATGATTTTAAACTTTTAAACCAATACTATACAGAGGAAATTTCTAATTTCAGTACAACATGATACACGATTTAGATCATAAATATTACCTAGCCAAAGTTATATATGCATATGAAAAAAATTAGCAGAAGCATGCCTGACCCCTAAAGAAGAAACATTAGCATTCATATTTGGACCAGACTACCAGAGCCATTAGAAAGATGCAGAAGTTCCACCTGTAGAGTAGTGCAGTTTCCCTATGCTGGAGAGGTAGTGCAGTTTCAATGCTCGAGCGACGGCGGTGTGGAGGGTGGGCGGGAGGAAGGGCAGGGAGGGGCGGAGGTGCAGCGATGGCGGCGGGGAGAGGAGAGTGCAAAGAGAGAGGGACAACGCAGGGGTGCCGGGTCAGACCAGGGCTGCCGCGGCGCGCGCGCTGGGGGCTTCCTGCAAAACATCACGGGGTTATGCAAAAAAGGAACAAGTCTCGAATTTCCTCTTCTTCATATCAGAATAAAATTTACATTAGGGGTTTACGTGAAAAGTATCTCAACGTGAATACTGTTTATGGATGATGAGCTGGACCGCGGGTTAGTTTTCAAACAAATAGAGGGCTTCTCTGTAAAATTGTCAGAGGCGTATGTGCAGCACGGGAGCGAGCCACGGAGTCCCAAATTCTCTGGTGGCAGCGGACTCAGGTGGGTTTTAACATCTTCCGATTGATAGTACTACTACTCCAGCAACCTGGCTGCACTGCAGGCACGGACAGTACCCATCAGGACAAGTAGAAAAAAAGGCCTAGTTTAGATTAGGGTCGTATTTGACACGGTAGCACTTTCGTTTGTATTTGATAATTATTGTCTAATTATGACATAACTAGGCTTAAAAGATTCATCTCGTAATTTACAATCAAACTGTGTAATTAGTTATTTTTTTTATCTATATTTAATACTCCATATATATATATAAAGATTTAATGTGATGAGAAGAAAATGAAAAAACTTACGCTCTAAACAAGGCCAAAGTTCTGCTGCCGGCACCGGCAGCCTGCAGCTGCAGTGCAGGCTTTCTGCATTCTGACTCGAGCCTTGTTTAGTTTCCTCATTTTATATATTTTGGCACTACGTAAAAAGAAGATTTTCTGTCACATCAAACTTACGATACATGCATGAAGTACTAAATGTTTACAAAATAAAAAACTAATTGCACAGTTTGGTTGTACTTTGCGAGACGAACGTTTTGAGTCTAATTAGTCAACGATAGGACAATTATTACCAAATAAAAACAAAAAGGTACAGTGCACAACAGTGTCGCCGTGTTTAGCTCCAATTCTGTTCCGGCGGCGCCGAATCCGGGGCCGAACTAAACGCGGCCTCGTTCACTTTGCAAAAAAATGAACCTGATGAATAATACCACTTTCGTCTTATTTGGTAAATATTGTCCAATCGTGGATCAACTAGGTTCAAAAGATTCATCTCGTGATTTCCAACTAAACTATGTAATTAGTTATTTTTTTAACCTACATTTAATACTCTATATAAACGGCTAAAAATTGATATGACGAAGAGAGTGAAAAAACTTGGAATTTGCATGGCATCTAAACAAGGCGTAGGAGTAGTATAGTATCTGGTTGCAGAGGTGCAGACTTCAGCTCCACTGGCCTCCTCATCCTTGGATCCTCACCCAAACGAGCCCTTTGACCATCGCCGCTCTGCCACTCTGTTGCATCGCCGTCGGTGTCAGTGTGACGGTGTCCGTCACCAACCCTCTCCCAGGTCCCAAACAAAGGCCAAAGCGCCCCGCCCCACTCACACTCCACGCCGTGGTCTCGCCATGTCGCGTCTCCCAGAGACAACAAAACACGTCACGTTCCTCTTCGTCGACGGCGTCGCGGGTGGCCGTGCTCACTCACCGTTGGTGTGGTGGGGAGAAATGGACGCTTCTCCTGCACCGCCGCCGCCGCCGCCGCCAGCGGGGTCTCCCGCCATCGGGCGGAAGCTGAGCCCGGGGGTGCTCCTCCTCATCGCGATCCTGGCGATGGTCTTCTTCATCTTCGGCCTGCTCAACCTGCTAGCACAGAACCTGCTGCGCCTGCGGCGGGCGCGGCGGCGGCGGCGCCGGGTCGGGGATGCCGCCGCGGCGCCCGACGGAAGCAGCCCCACGGCGTTCCAGGGCCAGCTCCAGCAGCTGTTCCACCTCCACGACGCGGGCGTCGACCAGGCCTTCATCGACGCGCTGCCCGTCTTCCCCTACCGCGCCGTCGCCGCCGCCGCCGCCGCCAAGGACCACGACGGCGAGCCGTTCGACTGCGCCGTCTGCCTCTGCGAGTTTGCCGACGACGACAAGCTCCGCCTGCTCCCGACGTGCGGCCACGCGTTCCACGTGCCCTGCATCGACGCCTGGCTGCTCTCGCACTCCACGTGCCCGCTCTGCCGCGGCAGCATCCTCGCCGAGGCCGACTACTCCTACTCCAGCCCGTCCCCGTCGTCGTCCTTGCTCCTGCTCCACCACCACTCGTATGGCCTCGCCGAGACGGCCGCCAGAGACGGCGGTGATCCGGGAGCCAGAGACGGCGACGAGTCACCCGAGGACGCGGTGGAGGAGATCGTGGAGGTGAAGCTGGGCAAGCTCAGGTGCGTCGACGGCAATGCCAGTGCCAGGGACCTCGTGGCCGACGGCACAGGTAGCAGCGGTGGCAATGGCAGGGGAAGTCTCGGGCAGAGGCGGTGCCTGTCCATGGGATCATACGAGTACGTCATGGACGACCACGCCGCGCTCCGCGTCACCATCAAGGCGACCCCGAAGAGGAGGCCCGCGAGCTCGAGGTCGTCGCGCCGCCGCCACGCGCTATCGGCGTGCGACCTCGGGTGCCCCAAGAAGGCGGGCGCGTGGGAGACGGCCGTCACGGAGGCCGCCGCCGCGTCCGCGGACGCCGACGGGCGCTGCGGCGACGGCCCCGGCCCCGCGGCAGAATCCGCCGGCGAGAGACGCGCTGCGTCGTTCCGGTGGCCGGCGATGGCCTCGGGCTGCAAGAGGCACCGCAGGGACGAGGAGCCTTGCGACGTCGAGGCAGGTGGCTCCGAGGACAGTGGCGTCTCGTCTGTAGCGGAAGAGAGGCCGCCGTCGGTGCCTAGGGCGGCGATGCTCTGGGTCGCCGGCGGGAGACAGGGAAGCCATTCGTGATCCGCATTTGGTTTGCACGTTGGTTCAACACACACAAGATTGGATTTTTTTTATTCCTTGTTTGATTTCTTGTCTCCTTTTGTTTTGTTTCTTCGATAGATTGATACTGTAGTGATCGCAAAGCAAGCAGGAAATTGTATAAATAAAAAGAAAAAAAATGTGTTGCAGGAATTGCATTGGTCTGACAAAAACTTAGCAGAGTAAGAGGAATTCGTTCTTGGTGATTTGCTTTAGAGGTTGAACAGAGGTGGAGGATCTTGGAAGCCACTCATGAGTCATGAGCAATAAAGAAGAATGGTTGTTTTGGTTGGCCAGGTTGATGGTGATGGATTTAAATTAGAACTCCAAATCTTGTTAGCATCTCTGACTCTGAACCTTCCTGCCTCCTGATGGAAAGAATCGGAGTCAAGAAAGTCTGTCTTACTCATCACTTCAGGACACAGATTTAGTTGAGAACCTGTCCTGATCAGCAGATCATCCACTCCACTCTGTTTCAGCTGCACTTCAACTCCTCTGAAACTCTTGCAAAAACAGGTGAATGCAGACAAACAAAGTGCAGGCCTGTCTCGTAAGATAAACAACACATCATCACTGCTGGCCTACCCGGGCCATGGATCACTGGCATAATTGCATCAAGTGGTGCTGTGCTGGCACAGTTGACTAGCAACTACCTGCTGCAGGTGCTGCCGAGCTGAATGCTACCATGCATGCATGTCAGCATGTGACGCGAAGGCGAGTGGAAGCCGGATGCGCATTTCAAATCCTGTTCTTCCCATGTTGTTGTTGTTTTTTTAAATCGGTCTTCCCATGTTGTTTTGTTTCCATTCACGAGCTGTTCTTCTGGCAGGTGGCAGGTGGCAGCTGCTCAAGTAGCAAAAATCTTAATGCTAGTGGAGTGGGTCCTGCACACCATCTTAATACTACTGTAATATGCAACCATCTATCGCTGTGGCTATCGCTGTTGTAACAGGCTGGTGCAACAGAGCTGCACTGTGGCTATCGCTGTTGTAGCAGAGCAGGTTAGACAATGCATGTGTTGTTTATCTTCTTTTTTTTTTTTGAAAAAAGAACTATCCAAAACACCTTTTCATGCAAAGGCAAATCAAGGGATGTAGTATCTTCTTATGATTATGAACAGTGCGGACTGCGGAACTAACTACACCCTGGAAAACTTTGCATACATTGTGCCACTCACCAACCAGAGGCTGGTGTTCGTGAGTCAGATTTTGACAGAGCAGAGGGCAGTAAAGCTTCCCTTTTGAATTCTTTCGCCTAGTTTTTGTTCTCCTTTTAACCTGCCTGGGTGGCTGGGTTCAGAGTGTCCATGCTGCAACTGCAAGCATCATTAGCTTAACAAACCCCTGGCAGACTGGCAGTGAAAGGTGAATGCGACCGGTCAAGCGGGCACAAAAGTTGGTTCAGAATTGACCATGTTTTCAAGGATGGGAGCAACAACATGCTATCATCTGGAGTACTAGATGATGGCAAGGTTGAGAAAGGCAAGCAAGCGTGCTGCATGCGTGCCGTCTTATAACTTCAACAATAATACATGACAAGCGGGAAATTAGCAAATCACGCAGTAGTTTTTTTTTTTTGGGCGGCAAAAGATTTGCCGTACTTTTTATTAGACGAGGAAAGCAAAAAAGCACAGAAACAAGAAAAAACAACTGCAGCCTCAGCCGAGGTCAAAGAAAATACCAAAACATGACAGCAAACCCCTAACAACTCCTAGATGAAAGAAAAAACGACAACCAGGAACACCGCTAGACCCCGGCTTTGGCACAGGAACAACTGAGCACAAAAGGCGACAAAGGAAAAAACTACTGCACTGTAGAGAGGCTCGAAAGCATTGCCAAGCTGTACTGGGATATGTCATCCTTGCATAGAGAAGCGACTTCGACTGGTCGTTTGGATTTTTGTTGGAAAGTTCTTCTATTCTGTTCCTTCCAAATGTGCCACCAGAAGTAGATTATGACTCCATCGAAAGTCTTCTTTGCGTCCGGTCAAAGGTAGCTCGACATCTCCTCCAATAGCTGTGGATGGATCCATTTTGGTGTATATTCCGAATTTGGTCAATATTGCACCAATTTTGTAAAATTGCCCAAGCCTCCTTTGTAAAGGTACAGTCCTTGCATAGGTGTTGTGGCGTTTCCGGTAGCAGTCCACAAAGCATGCAAATGGGATCGTTTGGCCATCCCCTTTTAATCAAGTTATTAGCCGTTAAAATCTTGTGGTGAAGCAGTGTCCAAGCTAAAAATCTGCATTTCTGCTCTGTCCGCGCTCTCCAGATTGGTGTTAGCCTCAGCTTGCTGTAGGTTCCTGTAAATTGCACTTTGTAAGCGTTGCTTGTCGTGTATTCTCCATCCACTGTCCATCGCCATCTTATTGCATCTTCGATGTCGTTGTTCAACTGAATTTGATGTATGGCTTCCCATAGCTCCACATATTCTACTAGTTCTTCTCTGGTCGCAATAGGCAGTAGATGCTCTATCCACTTGTTGCCAATGAGAACCTTATGTACGCTAATTTTCTTTCTTCTGCACTTGGCAAATAACCTGGGGGCTATGCTTTTGGCTATCCGACCATTGATCCAACTGGAGGTCAAAAAAACAGCCGAGTGACCATTGCCCACCGTGACCACAGTGGAAGCGTTGAAAAGTTCCATATCAATTTTATCGCATGGTATGTCTAGTTTGTTCCAGGCTCGATGCTTGTGCTTCCACCTGAACCAAAGCCATCGCAATCTGAGTGCTCTTGCAAATCCCTCTAGATCCAATATTCCTTGTAACACCCTCGGTGTTTGGCTTCTACTAATTGCATTTCGTCTCATAAACATGTGCATCATCTATCTCATCATGTCATTTTCCCTGAAACATACATATGAAACATTCGCATATTCTGTTTGTCTCATACTGGATTGCTTGGGAATGGTAGTAGTGCAACATGAATTTCCCATGTCTTGAAGCATGGCAACATGGTAGTAATGTGACAAGTATAGGATAACAACAAGGTCATGCAACATGTGAAACATTGTATTGAAACATATGTATGAATTGCTTGTTTTACTTTCTTTATCACATGTGATCAGTAGAAGTGGTATAACAACTTTGTAAAATGGTTGATCATGGTCTAATACACCTTAACTATACTTAGTTTACTTGTTGGAACATTGTTCATGTAGACCAAAATGACCCAAATGTCCTCAAGTGCAAGTTTGACTTAAATTGACCCATGGAGTGTCATCGTTTGACTGATTCAAAAGTCCAACTTAGAAGCTTTACATGGCTGTGCACTCTTTACAAAAGTTGTAGCTAATTTATCAAGGAACAAAAGTTGTTTATGGCCAATTCATGAAAATGTGTGGAACATGCTCAAACATGGCCCACAAGTCAAAATTACATGCTGATTTCACTGAAAAATTTGTTTAAGTCATAAACTGCATTTTCAGTTGGATCAGGCCAACTTGGGCTTCATATAACTGCTGCTGATCCATGGCGAATTAGGAGATGGTCCTTGAAAGGAAAATGTAGCTGGATGGTACCTCTACATTTCTCATGTACACCATTTCGCAAAGCATCATTGGATTAGCCGTAGTAAGGCGTTGAATTCACGCCGTCGAGCGATCCAAGTCGATCAATCGCGCCTTCTGATGACCGACCGTTTTCAGAAAACACGGGACGCGTGTGCGCGCATGCAGCGTCGTCGGGTCGGCCGATCGATCGCTGCCACGCGCCGCGCGCGCGCCTCCGGCGTCGTAGCCGTGTCTGGTCAAGTCACCCAGCGCTGCCGAACGCTTTCGCCGTCCCATTTCGTTTTTCCTCGCCCTCCCACCGCGCGACAACCGAGCCGCGACCGCTTTGCCATTGCTCCGCCGCCTTTTCGCCTCGCTTGCTCGTCGCCGCAAAAGCGCCGCCATCTCGCCGCTAGCACCGCCGTGATCTCTCATCACCCCACCCCTCGGCCGGTCGATTGTGCCTTGGTAAGGATGAATCCGTCATTTCCTTCCACCACGCCCATGGCGGAAGTTCGCCGGAGTTGGCGCCCACGCGACCAGCTGTCCGCGCGACCTTTCCACCCTCCTATGCTGCGGCTAGGTCCGGTGAACACCACCGAAGCCCGTAGCGCCCACCGTTAGGGCTGCGATGTCGTATCATCGCCGGAGCCGACCGTGCCATGGCCGAGCACCGCCGTGCTCGTCGCCACCCCTCCTAGTTGCGTTGATAGCTGCAAATAAGGGTTCCCCTAGGTCCGCTAGGTTGAGGCGAACCCGTAGGCACCGTTGGTCTCGCCGGAGAAGTCACCGACGGCGAGTCCCGTCGTCGTCTTCCTCCGCCTCCCACATCGTCTCGGCTGACAAAGCGGGTCCGCTTTGTCGACCCGCCCGAGGCTCAGGCGGAGTCCAGCTCAGGCAGCGCCAAATCGGCTTGGCTTGCGCTTGCTGTCTTTCGTGGGCCATTGTTCCTTGGGCCACCCACCATGGCAGTTAGGTTTTTATTTTGTTTTGTTTAACTGTTTTTCATAGTTTTGGTGCACCATTTCAAAAATAGGTAACTCAAGTTTGATAGATCCAAATGATGTGGTTCTAATTTTATTGGGTTCCTGGTCATGTCTAGTATTTAACAAAAATATTATATGAGCACATGTTTTAGAAATTTTTGATGAATTAATTAGGACTTTGAAATGTGTTTTTGGACACATGCAAACTTGTTTGAATTTTATCTTGAGTTTCTGTGGTCCAAAAATTATGAAATTTTGTGGGCAGCCTGTTATTGCTTATTAGAAGCTCTGGTAAAAATTTTAGAACTAATGCATGTGTAGTTTTTAAGTTATAGAATTTCCTTTTATTAATGGGTGGATCTTGTGTGAATTTTCATAATTTTTCTATAGATCCAGTGTAGGTGAAATTTGATGGGTGCTATTCTTATGCTAGAAAGATGCTAGGAAAAATGGGAAATATGTTGCTTGACACTTGTTAATAAGGTTTCCTAATTATGCTAAAA